ATGTATGTATGTATGTATATAGATATGTATGTCATTCTCAGAACCCCTTAACGCTAATTCAGAAACTTAAGGTATCAGCCCTAAACTCTAACCCCTAAATCCTCAACCCTAAACCCTCAACCCTAAACCCTCAACCCTAAACCCTAAACCCTAAAACCTCAACCCTCAACCCTAAACCCTCAACCCGCAACCCTAATCGCATTGCGCAAGCCTTGAAGCCACGGGGCTGTGGAGTTTGTTGGGAGCCTTGAATCGAAGTTGAAGGGGTTTAGGGTGTAGAGTTTACCTGCGGCAAAAGACATACCTTCTAAGGAACTAGTTGGGGGTTTCCGCAAATAGGGCACCCTCATATAGTATCCTAAAAAATAGGATCCTTATCAGAAGGACCTCCAAATAAGGTACCCCCTACTTTCGGAAACTGCCATATATAGAAACCATAATAAGGAACGCTCTTTTCGGCTACAGGTAGGGTTTAGGGATTTAAGGATTTAGGGATTTAGGGTTTAGGTAGGTTTTCGGGATTCGAGGATTCAGGGATTTGCGGATTTACGGATCTAGGGGTTCAGTGTTTAAGGGTTGGGGGTTCCAGGATTAATTAGAGATTTAGGGGTTAGGCCCAAGAGGCCCACGGCAGGCTCCGTTGGCAATCTCCATTTGGGTAGTTCTCCAAATTAGGGTCCCTTTTAAGCTCCCCAACATAGTACGGCACTCTTATAAAAAGGATTCAGGGTTTAGGGTTTAGGGTTTAGGGCTTTAACTTAGAGAACTACCCATGTCGGTGAGTGTATATCATGTAGGAATAGCCAGGGGGGGTTTAAACCATAAACCCTAGTCTACTGATCAGGCGCCAGTTCATCCGAAGACAATTCTCAGATCTGTAAGCCTAAACCATAAACCCCAAACCCAAACCCAATACCCCAAAACCCCAAACCCCACACCCTAAACCTCAAACCCTTAAAACATAAACCCCAAACCCTGAACCCTAAACCCTTAAGCCATAAATTCCAGACGCCTAGAGGCTGAAATTCCAAAGCCAGGAACCAGCCGGGTCGACGTCTTGCCTGAAGACTTAAACCTAATTAGGGTTTAGGGTTTGGGGTTTTGGGTTTAGGGTTTAGGGTTTTGGGTTTAGGGTTTAGGGTTTTGGGTTTAGGGTTTTGGGTTTGGGGTTTAGGGTTTTGGATTTAGGGATAGGGGCCTAATTACAAGTACTATCCTGGGGGTTCCTTGCTGTACTTATAGTATCATCGTCCCCAAAGCCCTTTTCTAACTATTAAGGCCACTACATTATCCCTAAAAACCCGGAAACCAAAACCCAAAACCCTAAACCACAAACCCTAAACAGCCCTGAACCCTGAAGCCTGCATCACACTGCAGACGCCCGTAAAGAGATCTTCTTGACAGCCTCTGGAAGACACCAAACCCAGTTTAGGGTTTAGGGTTTAGGGTGGTTAAGGGTCTAGGGTTTAGGGTGGTTTGAGGTTTAGGGTGTATGACATACCTCCCTAAACCCTAAGCCCTAAGCCCTACACCCCAAGCCCTGCGAAAGGTGCGGGCCTTCCTGGACAAGATGGAGATGGAGTTGGCCCAGGTCAGTTGAGGGTGGGACCTTCATAGGGTTCCCAGAGAACCCAGTACCACTCAAATAAGGAATATACCTTAAGTTATAGGGGCCTCAACATTATGGTTGAAGGTATATTCCTTAATTTCGGGGTATTGGGCTCTCTGGGTTTAAGTATCCGCCTATCCCAAAACCTAGACCTAGACCGCATGGATTGAAAAAAAAACCGGCGAGGTGGGCTCCTTTCAGAAAGCACTTTTTTAGGGTTTAGGGTTTAGGGTTTAGGGCATGTAGGTGTTGGGGTTCAGGGGGCTCTCGGGCTTCTAGAGTTTAAGGTCACGGGTAGGATTTTGGCTCGTACGGTTTAGGGTCCAGCGTTTAGGCAGGGTTTGCATAGTTGCAATCCTAAAAGCCACGCCCGAAACCCAAAACCCAAAACCCCAAATCGTAGCAGCATGTTGACGTTGAAGGTAGCAGCACCAGCGTTTCAGCACTCGTAGGGGCGCTACTTGGAGGTTCACGGGTAGTTGAAGGTGGGGTTATAAGTAGGGTTCCACTACCCTACTTATCACCCCCACGTATAAATACCCATGAACCTCCAAGTATGGTTACAGTAGTGTACAGTAGTGTAAGTAACGAGTTATAGCGCCAGTGCTGTCAAGATCCGGGAGAAAAATGCCAGAGACGGTGTGACATAGTTGGTGATACCACATCCCACCCTAAACCCTAAACCCCTAAACCCTAAACCCAGTCGCAATGGCATCTTTCTTCAAGGCAAACCTGCCCTTAACCCTGGACCCCCCATAGTCAGAAAAGGCAGCTATGTTAAATCGCCCCAATGGAGCGTAAGTTGCTGAAAACCCAGAGGCCGGCTTGTCAAGCTTCACGGCTTTGGGTGGTTTACCTAGTAGTACGGTTTAGGGTTAGGGTTTAGGGTTTAGGGTTTAGGGTTTAGGGTTTAGGGTTTAGGGCTTAGGGAGTCGGTAATATAGGGGCCTCAATAATTGCCGATGCCATGTTGGGGGTTCCTTATTATGATTATAATAGAATATACCCCCAAAGCCTTATTCGCCCTCTTCTAATTATTAGGGCCCCTATAGTAGGACCATAATTGGCGTACTATGGCCCGTAAGGTTAACCTTTAGTTCCCCTAGAATACTTGACAGGTAAGCTTAAGGCTTCTTTTAGGGTAGCTCCGAAGTTTGCAGATGTCGCTGCGCAAGTTGTGAAAAGTACTTCTAACCCCGAGAGCTCTTACGCAAGCGCGTTCCATCGTTTCTTCGCGACTATTTCGTGAACCATGCCCCAAACCCTAAACCCCAAACCCTAAACCAACAACATTTTCTAAAAGGCCCGGTGTAACCCTTCTACGAAAGCCCCGACATCCGTAAACCCTGAGCAGTCCTAACACCCTACAGTAAAGCCCTACAGTCTCCCAAGCCTAAGACCTAAAGCTCCTTACACCCTGAAGCCCCTAAACCTCCTAAACCTCCTAAAGCCCCTAAACCCTAAACCTCCTAAACCCGAAACCCTAAACGCTAAAACCCTAAACCTTAATCCTAAACCCTAAAACCCTAAACCCTACACAAACCCTAAACCTTAATCCTAAACCCTCAACCTTAAAACCGAAAACGCTAAACAATAAACCCTAAACCCTAAACCCTAAAACCCTAAAGCCCTAAACCTACACAAGCCCTAAACCTTAATCCTCAACCTTACAGACCCAAAGCTCCTTCAACCCCCAACAGCCCCGAGCAGGTTTCCGAGCTCCTCCTGAACGTCGCAAGCGGGGCCAGCTTCCAGATCCTGGGCCTTTAGGGTTTAGGGTTTAGGGTTTAGGGATTTAGGGTTTAGGGGTTCGGGGTT